ATCCAAGGTACACAACCCACATCCCTGTGAGCACGTGGAGTCTGGAGCTCACCCAGTACGACATGAGCAGCGATGTCCCATCTGTGGGAAGCACTGGTGCTCCCAGGAAGCAGGGACAAGGCACGGCATGATAGCAATCAGATGACCTACACTGCTAAGGAAAGTGCACACCAGTGGCTGAGCACCGGGGAAGCCAGGCCAGCCAAGCAAACCACACAAGTGCTGTCTCAGGCCAATTTTACTTTTGAAGGCTGGAGAGTCTCCTTCAGAGAAGAGAACACCATACTCTGATTTATAGATGGATAGACAGACAGACAGACAGACAGACAGACAGATAGATAGATAGATTGATAGATTGATTGATTGATTTTTTTAAGGCTGCTCTGTATTTCTAGAATGAAAACATGCTATTGTTCAGATTCAGAATGTGCTACCAGCATGGGCTTCCTCCTCTTCAGGGCTCTGAGGCTGGATTGCATCACACCATGGGTGGCATCCTGTCTACCTGCTCCTGAGGTCCTCTGAGTTTTACCAGCTGTTTTGCACACACTTACACAACACATACATACACACACACACACAGGGACACAGTCACACTGTGCATGGTCAAACTCAGGCATGCATGAACCTGCATGTGTGTACACATACATTGCACAGGCATGTCGATGCCCACACAGAGATGCCACCCTCAGTGCCACATCAGAGCCCTACACAGTCATACCTGAGCCCTGACAGACAGGCAGCATGGCTGTCCCTAGTTCTGAGCTTCCTTCTCAGCCCCAGCTAAAGGTTCAGCAAACACTTGGCTAGGAGATCAGAGCAGGCCCTGCCTCCTTCCAAGATATGGATGGATCATAGAGGGCTCTGCTGCCTTTGACCCAGAGCAGAGGTCAGGCTCTGGGGTGGGTTCCCACTCTCCTCCTGGGTCTGCCTGTCTGTGTGGCCCACATGGAGTGGCAAGGTGTGCTTTAACACAAAAACACACAGGATGTCCCAGGTCAGGCTGAGAAGAAGCACAGGGAAACAAGGGGTTAAAGAAAACGGAGGAGGAAAGGTATGGTGGGGGAGTACAGGAGGGACAGACAAGAAAGGGCTTCACACCATTGAAATGGTCACTCTGATGGAAGTCATGGGGAGATGCTTTGCCCTGGATTAAGTGAGGGATGGGCTCACTATCTTCCCTGCCAAGGCCTCTGAGGTCCTGGCCCTGGACACTATCCCCTTGGCCCTCAGGTCCCACAGGACACATGAGTCTCCTGATGTAGGAAAGTCTGAGCCTGGATCCCTGACTTCACAGTCCAAGGTGGTAGAACTGGAGGTGCAGAAGGTGGATATCAGTCAGGGTCTCTGCCTCAGCCCTGCTGAGCCTCTACCTAGACTATCCTCAGGGCCACAGCATCCTCAGACAGGGGGGTGGCATGTCTACCCATAAAAGTGCTTGCTGATAAAAGTGTGGTGTGTGAGTGGACATGAGTATAAGTGTGCATGTATGTATGCATGAGTGGGTATGAGAGCAAAAATGGGTGGCTGTGTACATACTTGTGTGTGCATGTATGTGTGTAAAATGAGTGTGCCCATGGGGGTACTGGTGTAAGCGTATACCTCAAGTATTGCTAGTATGTGAGTGTGGAGTGATCGGCACTTATGTGTTTCTGAATGTGTACATGACTGTGAGCATACATGTGGGTGTGTGCATGTGGGGTGTAAATGTGATTATGTATGAGCATGTATGTGCATTTGAGTGTGTGTGAGAATGGGACAGCAAGAGTGCCTATATGTACAGAAGCTGGTGGGTGTGTTTACCGCAGGCACGTGTGCAAGCATGTGTGAGCAGGAGGAGAGGAGGGGCAGACATGACTCATGTCCTCAGGGAAGAGCGCCTTGCAGCCTGGAGGCTCCTGGTCTATACTCGCCCTGCCACCACAACCTCTGGAGCTTCTAGGTCTGGCTGCAAAGATGGGCATCATAGGCCACAGGATGCACCCTGCCCACCTGGCCATTACAGTTGGTGGAGAACAGGCAGAGGCCTATCAGACCTATACCAGTACTCTAAACCAGTGCCTCACTCCAAAAGTTCAGATTAGCAATAAACCAGCATAGGACCTGCTTCAGACATAGACTGATGGTAAGAGACGACACCTCACTGAGCCGGGTAGTACGGGTGGGTGGAAGAATGACTGGCAGACAGGATCTATGCATGTTACCTGTAGGACACATCAGCCCTATGAAAACAACAACTGCTCCCATTGGTAGTGGGGGAAACTGAGGCACAGAGATCAGCCTTCCCTAGGCCACAAAACTACACTGATGCCCTTGAAGGGTTGGGGAATCCACCCACTCATAAGCCTACCCATTCCCATTGGAGTCAGCATGGGGCTACCCAGCTCCAACCCAAAAGCCACCTGCCCACCCAGCAAGCTTGGCCTGGGCTGCTAAACCTCAGAGATGGGACAGGAAAGAGAGGAAAGAGACACTGCCCAAACCACTGTGAGCCCAGAAAGAAAACACTGAGAGCTTTGGTGGCAGGCAGGGACAGAGGCACACAGACACCTGTCTCCCTGCCCACAGTGAAGAACACAGCATAAGATGCAATCTATTTCCTTTCCGTGGATGGTCATAAGTGAAAGTATGTAATGTGAACCAGGTGATGGATGGGGGGAGGGGCATGACTCCAGAGCCAATGACTAGTTCCTGGTGTTTTGGTGGGGCGCAGCACCTGGATACCCCTTTGGGGACCTGAAACCAGGAGGCAGCATGTAATTTCCTCCATCATCCAGTCCATCCTGCACTCTTTGGGGGCACACGCCCTAGGCCTGCCTGGCTGTCTGCCTAGAAATCCAAGCTGAGGAGGCAGCGCCATCAGCAGGTGACTGTGCCGCAAAGATGACAAGGTCTGTGGTAAAACAGGGAGCAACAGCTGAAAGCTAACACTTCCTAATGTGTGAGCCACCTGCTTCCCCCATCTCAAGTACCAAGTTGCAGAGCTAAGGACCAGCTTTCACAGATGACTGGAATTTGGTAATGACAAGACAGGATCCACTGGGGATCCCCTAGCGCCTTCCCACACACTTGACTATAGATTTCTCTGCATGAATCTCTTTCCTTCTCTCAATGTCACCACCAACTGTATCAACTTGAATATGCACATTCTAAAGAGGATGAAATGATGTAGAAATGGCAGGAGATTTCTAATATGTGCATCTCCACTAAGAACTTCACCTTCACAGCATCCCTGCAAGGGGGAAAGGGGGTGGGGGCACAGGCTCTTTTCCCTTCATATAGGTGAGGATATTGAGTCTCAGAGAGGGAATGGTTTGCAATATCCAGAATAAGCAGGGAAACTAGGGTGTCTGCTCCCCAAGAATCCTTGCTTCCAGGATGAGCTCCCTCCCCCAGCCCAGAGTAATAGAGGCTCCTCTTCTCTCAGAAGGAGGGCGGGTGCACTTTGGAAGACTCCCCCTTCCTTTTAAAAATCTTTGCTGTAGAAGGAATGCTTAGAGATCTCACAGGGAAATTCTTTATTTAAAAAGAAGACAGTAATATGGCTGTTGATGGCACCTGCAGATTCCGTGGTGTGAATCTGGGACCATACAGCATGGTGGGATCCTCCCCACCCCCCTCCCCCCAAGTCACTCCAGCATCTGGCCATGCCTCTGGTTAGGGTGGGAGGTTGTGTTGGAGATACAGGTCTGGCTATGGAGTCCAGCATGAGGCCCAGGCTAGACACACATAAATGGGTGGTTTGGGAAGAGGTCTGGGAGTGCCCCTGGGAAGTGTGAAAGCCAGAACCCTGCTGTCCAGAGCCCCAACCCTCCAGCTCTAAACCCCTCTTCCCTGCCAGTCCCCATACCTACCTCCTCTATCCCTCACCTCCACTCCCCTCTTCCTTCCACCCCTGCCCATGGGTCTGAGCACATGCTGGCCTCCAGTTCTGGTGTTAGGCAAGTGCTGTCTCTGGAATCGGGGTCTGGCTGCTGAGTGTTGGTGTCTCCAGCACAGGTGACTGGCACGCCAACACCGCACATACACACCAGCGCGCCAGTTACTGTTCATTCTGTCCAGCTTCCCCAGGGGTCCCTTGTCTGTTTCTATTTGCAATTATAGCCACCTTTGGTCCTAAGATAGGCTCGCCAATCTCATCTGCTCAGCCCGTCTCCGGTTAACTGTAGCCTGCACCAGAAATAACGCCCCTTCCCCTGCGTGCCTGCCGCTGGGCAGGGATGGACCTGAGGCTCTGAAAGTCCCGGGGAGCCTTCCCTGCCAGGTCCACGTGGGGTGGCCTGATAGAAACGGGCGCCTCCGGGGTCTGGGAGGAGCCCGCAGAAGGCAGATGTCCCACGTCGCTGGCCACCACCTCACCTGCCAAACTGGGGAGGCAGGCTCAGAGTTGGGGCGCTGCGGAGACGGCAGGGACCGGACCGTGCGTGACCTTGGCCAACTCTGCTCTTTCTGTGCGGTGTCCGGTCCACAGAGGTGTAGCTAGGGAGACTGGAGGGGTTCTCCCCGCGACCCCCGCCTCTTCGGAGCCCCGGGGACTAGGGAGCCAAAGGCGCTCCTGGGGACCGGGAGAGGAGCCTGGGACCGCGCGCATCGCCAGCCCAGAAGGCGGCTGGGAGCCCGCAGCCCCCCCTCCCCCCGGACTTTCGGTCCTCCTGCGGGGACCCATGCGGTGAAAGACCGGTGGCTCCAGGGGCTCTGCCCCCACCTCCTCCCCGACCAATAACCAACCGCCTGACCTTGGGCAAATCCCCCCCGTCCCCCCGCTGTCCCACACCCGTCAGGCGCTTCCACGCCGCTCGCCCAACGATGCTTTGTGGATCTCGGAAAAAAGCCCTGAGCGGAGGGCACGGGGCGGACGCCGTCCCCGGCCGACGGAGTGACCTTGAGGAACAGCCCCCCCCCCACCCCCCGCCTAATTCAGGACCTCAGTTTCCCCACCCGCCCAACTCCCGGCGGCACGGGCGATCCCCTGGGGGCGGGGGGCGCGCGGTGGCACTCACCGTCCTCCAGAGACGCGGGCGCTTGGCGGGGACCAGGGTGGCGGTGACCAGCAAGTGCGAGGCGGCCACCACGAACCCGAAGCCGACGGCCAGCAGGCTGCGCACGGGCAGCAAGGCATAGGACACGAAGGTGACCAGGAGCAGCTGCCAGACACCCTGCTCCGCGGCGGCCGAGCCCGCCGCCGCCCCGGCGGAGCCCCCGGCGGGGCCGCCCAGCGCGAAGGGGCAGCAGAGCAGCGCGAAGGTGAGGCTGAAGAGCAGCGCCAGCTGGCCGACCTGCTGCAGCTGGGACGCCCGCAGGGAGCGCACGTTGGTGACCACGAGCAGGGCCAGGAACAGGACGCAGTGCACCGGGTGCGAGCCCTTGCCCAGGCCGGGCGCGGGCCCCGGCGCGCCCAGCAGCTCGGTGAGCGCCAGCGCGCCGGCCAGCAGGCTGAGCACCGCCAGCGCCTTCAGCGTGGCCGCCTGCTCCAGCCGCAGCGTGTAGCCGCGGAACAGCGCCTCCAGCTCGGGGCACGCGAACTCCTCGCCGCACGCCCCGAACCCGCGCCGGCCGCCCGGCCCGGCCGCCCGCTCGGCACCCCCGGGCTCGCCCGCGCCGCCTCCGCCGCCGCCTCGGCCGCGCGGCGCCCCCGCCATCTCAGCGCCATGCAGCGGCCGCGGCCACGGGCGCGCCCCTCGCCGGCCCGGGGCGCCGGGGCGCGGGCGGCGGCGCCGGGGCGGGCGGCGAGGCGCCGGGGCGCGGGGCGGGCGGAGTTGGGGCGCCGGCTGCCCAGCGCGCGCGCCCCGAGCGCGCCTCGCCCCCTCCCGCCGGCCGCGCCTGCGCACTGGAGCCCGCCCGCACCCCGGGCCGCGAGCCCCGGCGGCACCCGCTCTGCGGCAGCCGGTCCAGCCTCGGGGAACCGAGGGGGTCCTGGGGCGCCGCGGTCCGGGTGTGCGCACGGCCCCACGCGCCCCAATCCGCGCCCCGCGTTGCCCCCTCCCCCGGAGCGAGCGGCCTCGTGACCTTGGGCGCCTCCTTCTCTCCGAGTCTCAGTTTCCCCGCTGGGCGCAGTGGGACACCCCCTGGTGTCCTCTGGGAGAAGAAAAAAGCTGGGATTCCCGGTGGAGCGAGAGGGCGTCCTGGCAAATGTGTGTCCCCTCCCCACACCAAACCAGGTCACCGGGAAGGAGCCGGCCAGGGCCCCAAGACCAGGGCGGCAGGAGGGTGACAGTGGCCTGCAGTGTGGGACCCCTAAACCCCTCAGCAGACACTCGGGGCCTTCTATGCGCCTGAACCCTCTGGGCTTCTACAAACCACAGATGGGGGTGCCGCGAGGAACCGAGTGAGGTCCAAGAGACAGCCCTGGGACTGTGGAGGAGGTCTGGGGATGGAGGTGTGAGGCGCCTGGACAGAGCAAGGGAAGAGGAGAGGGGAAACGGGCCCTAAATGGGATCTGGTTCCCAGAGGATCTCTTCCAGCAAGACAATGGCAGGGACTGACCCACTGCACCAAGGTTACACCTAGTGCAATCTAGCAAGCGGGACTTTGTGCTGTGCCTGCGGGAAAGTGCCTCAATGGATGCTTGTGGGGTCCTTGTCTCTACGCCCCTGCGGTGAGGATCCCAGGTAACCCCACCTCGCTCCAGAGGGCCCAGAGAGGAGAAAGGACTGCAGGGAGTCCTGTGCCCCCCCCCCCCCCACCTCCTCAGATCAATCTGGAGCCCAGAGTCCCACAATAGCATGCCTCCCAAAGGCCAGCCCCCCACCTATATGGAGTCCCCCTTCCAGAAACCAGAATTAAATTGACCCACTCCAAACACTGGTCTAGTTTAGAAACCCCCGGGATCCCAATGACTCTCAAGGCAAGAGCCACTACCCACCAGTTGTTATATGAGCCCCAGGATTAGAAATTGACGTCTTTCTTTCTTTTTCCTTCCTTCCTTCCTTCCTTCCTTCCTTCCTCTTTCTTCCTTCCTTCCTTCCTTCCTTCCTTCCTTCCTTTCTTTCTTTCTTTCTTTCTTCCTTTCTTCCTTTCTTTCTTTTTTGTGGACTTAGTATGATGTTAGGCCCGTTTCTGTCAAGGTCACAGACCTTAGTATGAAGATGATAATGTGTCCTGGGCAAAAGCCCTCTCTCATTCCCAACAGGCCTTCCTGGAGTAGGCTCCCCAGTGAGGACACCTCTCTGGAAAGTCTTCTGGCCTGCAGGCATCCACTGCAAGTCACTTTCCCCCAGGTCCACCCTTCCATGGAGATTCACACCTGCCAGTCCTCATTCACACTGCCAGTCCCCCAGTTCACCCTCCCCTAGCAAGTCACACCTTCCAGTCCTCCAGGTCCACCCTTCCATGGAGATTCATACCTGCCAGTCCATGGAGATTCACACTTGCCAGTCCTTATTCACACTGCCAGTCCTCCAGGTCCATCCTCCCATGGAGCATCACACCTGCCAGTCCTCATTCACACCTGCCAATTTTTCAGATCTGCCCTTTCATGGAGAGTCACACCTGCCAGTCCTCATTCACACTAGCCAGTCCCCCAGGTCCATCATACTATGGAGATTTACACCTGCCAGTCCCCAGGTCAACCTTTCCATGAAGAGTCACACCTGCTAGTCCCCAGGTCCACCATCCCAAGGAGAGTCACACCTGCCAATCCTCTAGGTCAACCCTTCCAAGGAGACTCACACCTGTCAATCCTCCAGGACCACTCTCCAAGTCCACCATCCCATGGAGATTCACACATGCCAGCCCTCATTCACACCTGCCAGCACTCATTCACACCTGCCAGTCCTCTGGGTCTGCCATTCCAAGGAGATTCACACCTGCCAGTCCTCATTCACACCTGTCAGTCCTTTAGGTCTGCCATCCCAAGGAGATTCACACTTGCCAGTCCTCCAGGTCCACCCTCCCAAGGAGATTCACACCTGCCAGTCCTCATTCACACCTGCCAATTCTGTAGACTAGATGCTGGTGGCTCATGCCTGTAATCTTAGCTACTCAATGAGTTGAGATCTGAGGATCAAGGTTTGAAGCCAGCCCGGGCAGGAAAGTCCATGGGACTCTTATATCCAATTAACCACCAAAAAAGCTAGTAGTGAAGCTATGACTTAAATGGTAGGGCACTAGCGTTGAGCAAAGTCCTCAGGCAGGGTGTGTGCAGGTCTGGAAGGGGACATTCGGTCATCTTCAGGTCCTGCAGAGCATAATCAAAACAAGCTAACAGGACAGTTGGAGTACTCCTATTCACACAGAGTGGAACTTGGGATCAGGTTTCCTGTTAGTATGGAAAGTTGGTGCCTTTCAAGATAGGATTTTGGTATGACTTGCAGCAAGAACAGCAAGTGTCCCTGTGGCTTCTCCTCACTTAAAATGTGTCCTATACATCTGGGCTTCCAGGCCTCAGGATTGCAAGGGGCTCCTGGCCTTTGGAGAAGCAAGATGAATTGCAGCATTATGGAGGTGGCATAGAGTGGAACCTCACTCATCCTATCTAACCTAGGTCTGAAAGGGGGCTATGTGGCAGCATGTCTAAAAGACCTTGGCACTCAGATCACATTCCTGGTCAGCTTTCTTTCCCTCTGTGTGATTTTGAGCAAGCAAGTCAACTGTGATCTTTAAGGTGTCATGGAAGAAAAGCCCACAGACACACAAAGGCTTTGCTTCCTGTGCATGAAACAACAGCCCTTTTACCCCATAGCAAGTCATCATGTTCTGTGCACATGGGAATGTCTGAGGGCTGTTCCCACCATTCCCACAAATGCATCCACCACCATTACCCCATGTCATGTGTGACATTCCCAAAGCTGGCTTCATCTGCCACAGGACACACATGCACATCCCCACTTGAGGACAGCAGTCAGAAACATGTGTGCCTCTGTGGAGGGTGGGCACAGAGGCTCACACCCATGATCTCAGCAGTTGGACCAGTAGAGAGAGGAGGACTTCAGTTCAAGGGCAGACAGGGAAAAAAAGCAAGATCGTATCTCAGAAGAAGCCAAGGACGTGATTCCAGCTGCACAGGAAGAGAAAGATCTGACCATCGCATAACCTCTCTGAAGAGTAACTAAAGCAAAATGGATTGGAAGTGTGTGCATATATATATATATATATATATATATATATATATACATACCTATATGTACAGATATCTATACATACATATGTGCATATGTATAATCTTATTTTTAGTTGTACAAAGGAGTTTCAATCCAAAGTATCCGTTTATGAGTGCAATGCTTCCTAACCAATGTCACTCCTCTCATCATTCTCCCCATCTTTCTCCTTATCCCACACATCCCCTTAATTCACCCAGCTCCATTTTCACCTGTGTGCATTGACTATCATGGCTGCATCTCCCACCCTTCTTCTCTTCATTTGTCTATCCTTCTCTCCTTGATTTCATACCACACACCTCAACTTCTAGATTCCTAATATTCATTTTGTTAGACTGTGAGTTACACCATTAGACTCCTCCCCTGCATATAACATGTTTTATATATATATATTATATATAATACGTTAGTGTACAGGCACATATGATTCTGTATGTGTTTACATGTATATTTATAAATTAGATCTAACTTCCAGCCTAACTCCTAGTCCTCTGATCCCTCTGGATACAGGAAGAGGATGGAGTGGATGATGAATGAGACTATTGAGGATAATAACCTTCATGGGTATTGGGTGATGAGGCATCAGGACTGTGCCAGGGTCCTGGACCAGCCAAAGGAGATGCCAGACACCAGATAAGCATCTGATCCTATGGCCCAGTTTGTAGGGAAACTGACCATCAGGCAGCCAAGAGGAGGTTATTCTTGGAACTTAGGATTTGCTGCTGAACAGAACAAGTACAGCTTGGCCCTATAAGGTCTTCTCCTGGCTGGTAGGGAGAGATGGGCACAAAGCCAATAATCCTAAATGTGTAATCTTAACTGTGACTGCTCTAAAAGAAGCTTCTGCAAGGAAGGGCAGGGCTCCAGCATCCAGGCCTTTTACTCCTGTCCTCTCCCTATAGCTGCCTATCTCTTATTCTCTTGTCCCTCAAGGCAGCACATATCAACACTCTTCATACCAAGCTTCACAGAGGAGCTGGGGATGGAGGGAGCACAGTGTTAATAGAAGAGATATTTTGAAACACACAACAGATAAGGACAGGCTGTCTCAAAATATGTCAAACTCACACGTTGCTTGTTCAAGTGCAATCTATGGAGCAAGTCCAGAAATTCAGGAAAGGCCTGATTTTTTTCTACATGCAGAAAGCTTTAAAGATACTTCCTGGAGCCAGTCACTGGTGGTTCACAATTATAATCCTAACTACTTAGGAGGTAAGAAACAGAGGATCACGGTTCAAGGCCAGCTTTGGGCAGGAAAGTTTTCAAGACCTTTCTCAATCCAGAGTTGGGCACAAGGATGTGCCTATCACTAAACTCCTAACCTCCATTGAGAGACTAAGATTGACAGGAGCACAGGTCCAAGCCAGCCAGGACAGAAAAGTCCATAAGATCCCAAAGGTCTCAGAGAAGCTAGGCACAGAGCACACTTGTCATCCTAGCTACCACTGGGAAGCCTGCAGTCCAGGCATACACTTGGACAGGAAATGAGACCATATCTCAAAATTAACAAGTACAGACAGGCACCAGTGGCTCATCTTGTAATC